GTATACAAATATAAGCATGATGATGGAATCACATGAAAAAATAAACTAGAAGTTTACTAGAATAAATATTAGTTGGCATAACCAGTTGACCATTTCGGTTCAAATGTGATGCAAAAGAATTGAGAATTCATGGGGTTATATGTTGAAGAAATAAAAGATTCTTCAAGAATTCTCATGTGTTGTTTGTTCTCATGATAAAATGATCATTGTACCAGCAAAAGTTGTGATTGTATCCCCTGAAATTATTTGGAACATATAAAAAAGTGAATATGGGCCGGTTCACCTGCCATGTGGACCGCTTACTTTATGATTTAATAGATGCATCTATGGTATGGTTACATGTGCATTTGTATTAACTTACAAATTGGTTTTTGTAAGGTTGTTTGCTCGAGTTGTTAAATTAAGAGCACAATTCCAAACTATAAAATTATGTTGATAATGTTGGTTGGTTTAGCATAAATTATATGCCGAAAGATATGTTTAGCAGCTGAAATTATGTGTGGGGTGAATTATCTAGATCCTCGTTAAAAAAAATGTGAACTTGAAGTTCAAGAGATAATTCATTTGCAAAATGTTGCAAATAATTTGTCAGATGTATTTGCTAACCCAATATTTTAATTAAGCTGCAAATGCTCCAATAAATAGTCCTTGAAGGACAAAGTCTATGGTACGCCAGAAGCGTGATAGACCAAGCGATTCCAAACGTAAAACTCCTTGAGGAAGAAGAGGAGCAAATTTTTAACATGGTCATGATAATGAGGTAAGTGCTTTGAAAGAACACTATGACATAACACTTTCATAAAACCTTGGCAAAGGTTCAGGTACCTGAAAATGATGAAAAATGAAGAGATCTCGATAAGTTATGTCGTATTGGAATCGAGTCAAATGACCGTCGACGATATCTTTGATATGAAGTAGCACTCAATGCTATAAGTGGTTACAAGGATCTTATATTCGAATCTGTCATATAATGTGGACAGATAAATGATTGGCCAAATAAAATGCACTATTCAATTATATTTTGTTTCACTTAGAAAAGTGATGTTTTTGAACTTATAGTTTATAGATCAAAATATATGTCAGTGGGGGTACAAATGAATCATTGTACGAAAGTATAACCGTAAGATATAAAGTATTGTTTGTGCCTCGGGGCATAAAGGGTTTTCGCAGAAGTCCTGACATTATTAAATGGAGATATGTTCTCCAGTGATGGATGCAATGTGACTTATTTCAGTCTGGCAATAGATGAAATACTTGAATATGTATAATGACTGATTATCATGTCTAACTAGACGATGAAGGTTAGATGAAAATTCTTGAAGGATTTAAAAGGTCTTAAAACAATTCCATTGAGTAACCAATGGTTCTGAGATTGCTTAACATAGAGAAAGAATCTTTTCAACCTCATGAAAATGATTTAAAATGCCATGTATTAGTGCAATTGATGCACTTACAGATTGTTTGTTATGCAAATGCTAGAAGATTATTTGATAGTTATATATAAAGTTATGTGAGGGGATTGTCATATTATCATTCAAGTTATGCGAACAAACTAACAAAGAAAGTGACTCAACACATAGAAGATGTGTGATTTTCTTTGAGAAGAAAAGATGAGCAACATATAAAATTGAAATGATCAATCTCTGAGTTAGAAATGATTTGATTATGTAGATGCAAAATATTTATTTGATCTGCATAAAGCTCGATCACAAATGAGCTATTTGTTTACATATGGAGGCACAACAATATCTTGGCATTCAAAGAAACAAACATTGGGAACCACTTATTCAAATCATACAGAAATAATATTGATCTATGAAGTAAGTCGGGAGTGTGTATGGTTGGAATCATGATCTATCATATTCAAAAAATATGTGATTTTCCTTTGGCAAAGGATATTCTAACCACCATATACGGAAATAATATATAGCTCAATTGAAGGGAGGATACAATCAAAGGAGGTCGGACAAAGCATATTTCACCAAAAGTATTTTTCACACATGATCTTCAACAAAATGGTGAGATAGACGTTCAAAGACCCATTCAAGTGATAATCTTGTAAACTTATTCACTAAGGATTGCCAACATCAATATTTCAGAAGTTGTGATATAAGATTGGAATGCATCGTCTCCGAGATATCAAGTAAAATTTTTATCAGGGGGAGAAAAATACGCATTGTACTCTTTCCTTAACCATGGTTTTATCCCAATTGGGTTTTCCTGGTAAGGTTTTTAACGTGACAACATTCAAAGCGTATTAAAAGACATGTGTACTCTTTTTCCTTCACTAGGATTTTTTTCCCACGGGATTTTTTCCTAGTAAGGTTTTAACGAGGCATATTATCTATGGACATCCAAGGGGGAGTGTTATAAAATAATATATTGTGGATGTCCACTACATCAAGAAGTTACTCCATTACTTTCCTCCATTATGAAGATAACCATAACCCCCATAACCTCCACCTTAATAACCATTATTCTTGTAACCTTTCACTTCCATAACCTCCCACTTATATTCATGTTAATGTCATGTTTATGACTAACCTTTTGCATGCCTCTATGTCACACTATAAATAGAGGCATAAGGGTTCATATTGTAGAGACTTGAAGATTTGGTGAACACTTGAATAAGAAAAACCCTCATCTCTTGTCTCCCTATTTCTATTGCTATCATCTTTTATATTTCTTGTCTTGTTTTACTTTAGTTTTACAACAATTCTTAGTGTTGAATTGATTTTCTTTTTGCATTAGTATTAATTTGATTTTGATTTAAGTTTTATTATAATTAGGGAAAAGGGTCTAAAAAATACTTCAACTTTGGCCGAAATTGTTGTTACGATACCAAACTTTTGAAAGGAATTTTACCCCCCCCCCCCGCCGTACTATTTAATAGTGTATTTTATCTCATAGAAAGTGTAAGCATAAATTTTTTATGATATGTTGGGTGATAGTGATTTATTTTAATATATAATTAGTTATCATGCTTTATTTTTGAAGAGTTAAATCACATGAACTTTACTCAACATTTTAAGATATATTTCGTTCGTATATTAATATGAGAGGACTTTATAGTACTTTTTATGTGATGAATATCTAAATTGTATTTTTAATAATCAATTAATTTAATTACATTTAGCTTTAAAAATTAATCAAATGAAAGAAAAACACCAAAATTTAGTGTAATGCTAGTGGTACCTTTTACCACATCGGTGGAAGACACGTGATCTTTAGCATTTATAATGCTATTAGTTAGAGCATTGGTAGAAAAGAGTAATTACATATAGTTTGGGCAATTAGGAGTGAGATAGTATTAAGTTAGTGCAATTTTGGGCATTTGGTAGTGAGATAGGATCAAGTTAGTGCAATTAAGTAGGTGTCTATGTGTATGGGGGTGTCCTATGTGGATGGAGTTAGTTCAAGAACAAAATAATTAATTAGGAGATATTAATTAATATTGCCTAGAAAAATTCTTTTTTGTTAATTTTTACAAAAAGAATTTGGTATATATTTTGCAAGTAAATTTCCAAGTAATTTACCTGCGAAATATAAATTCCTAAAAGAATCAAACGAGCGTTACATTGATGGAAGAACTTACATTGAAGGAGAAAATTAATGAAAAACTGAAGAAATCACCCCTCCTTGCCCTAGCCTGACCTTGAACGAGTTTTGGGAGTAAAATATATAAGAGAACAACACAATAACTAGGGGTGTACATGGTCGGGTTGGTTCGGGTTTTTCAAATATCAAACCAAACCATTAGTGTCGGATTTTTAAATCTATAAACCAAACCAAACCAATAAAACTCGGGTTTTTCCTCTACAGTATTCATACAAACATATAATTTACTTGTACTTCAAATATTTCTTCAGTCCTACCAAAATACAACTATCTAAGGTGTTTCTTAAGAATACAACACAAACAATGATATGATTAATGACACTAAAATATCCAAAAATCATAATAATAATGAAATCGCGTAAAATAAATATTGCAAATTAACAAGTCATAATGAAATGATCATAATTTAAAAGTACTAAATCATGCTAAAATAAGTTTAATAAGTATTAGTTACATGACTAAATATTAAAGGAAATTAAAATTAGATTATGTACTTTAATTGTCTAAACCAATGTAAAACCAAAGAACAAATATTCAATATTATTGTCATTCTTAGTGTTAAATTGATTTTCTTTTTGCATTAGTATTAATTTGATTTTGATTTAAGTTTTACTATAATTACCAACATCTATGGACTATAATTTTTATGGAACCATTCAAAATTCTAAGTTTCAAACTTGAAATAATATATTAAAAGATAAAAACTATGAAAAAGTATAAGAAATATTTAAAAATTATATCAAAGTAAACATTTTTATGTATAAAATAAAAAAATTTAAAATTATATATATGATGTCGGGTTGGTTTGGTCTCGGGTTGGTTTTTTTTAGTTAAAACCAAACCAACCCAAATATAGTCGGATTTTTTTTTCAACACCAAAACCAAGTCAAACCAACCACTAGTCGGGTTTTTTTTCTGGTTTGACTTGGTTTGCGATTTGGTTCAATTTTCGGTTCGGTTTTGTACACCCCTAACAATAACCAATGTAGTTTATAACTAAATTAAATAAACCCAGTAATAATAAAATAAAAAAGGAAATACAGCATAGATGAGGAGAATTTCTATTTTTTTTTATACATATTGCATAACCTACCTCTAAAGATTGGGCAATAAATTATATAAGCAGCAGAGCGACGGGGCAAAGGTAGTGAAATTGTATTGTATAGTATGGAGCATCTTGTTCAGCAACCTTCAGATGTATGTGACCTAATGCCTTGTAAACTGGACATGCGTCAACTGAAGTCCAATGGCTGGGCATTTTGGAGCATAAAACACAACGACGAGTTGGACTACCTGCGATCCATTAAGTCTTTTTTTTGTGAGTAAGTTGTGAATATCAAACTTATTTTCCAATTTCAGTTTAGCACTAATCTTATCTTTGTGATACAACTTATTCTGTTGTTTCCATGTTTCCAACTGAGAAATGGAGGATCCAATCTGTTATGCAGAAAATAATGTTGACTCCAAATATTTCTCTGTTTCAATTCTGGGCACCCATCAAGGTCAATGTATCTACTTTCCTGTCCACTGCGGATCAACCATTTGCTTTCTATCAGAAACTTGATAAGAGTCTGTCTTCATACAGGAAGCTCTGTCTAGATACTTTGATTCCCATGGACAACTACAGCTACAAGAAAATTCCATTTGGCCCCCCTGGACGAGTTTTCTCAAGACGCTTGCCAGAATATAACCCCAACGTCCCAAGCTACTCCGCTGCAGAGTTTCCACTGCTTCAAACTGCAATTCCCTTGGGAATTCATTCTTATTATGCATTTCCAGTCTCCAACCGCCATGATCAGCAGTGCCTTGGTGTATTTGAGATTGTATCTACACAACCATCTCGCTGTCTTCCCAACCTTATTATGGTATTTGCTCAACGACACTTTTGTTTATATTCCGTTTGAACAATTCCATAATCCTTGTTTAATTTTCCATTCATAGGGCCTGAATTTCGAATCAGTTGGGTTGTATATTCCTAACTCATTGGACATACTTTTTGGACCTTCAACGGTAAGGTGTTGCTGCCTTTTTTATTTTGGCGAAACTAAACAAAATAAATGAAAGTAAAAAAAAAAGAGATCAGTCCCACTAATTTCATAGCTTATCTTATCTTTTTTACAGCCGCTGGAAGATGAAAGACTTGACAATATAGAGGGCAGATCCTTGAAAGACATAGTTCACCCTTTGCACAAATTTGGATTCCTTTTTCCCGATCTGCCTCTTCGAAAGTCTTGTATTGTGCTGCTGCCTCCATATATGAACGTCCGGAACCAATGTATCATGCGTTTGAATATTCTTCTGAGGTCTGTTTTATTGAGAGTGGCAAGGCATTGGTTGGGAGGGCATTTGCATCCCAAGGTTCATGCTTTTGCAAAGATGTTACTCTATTAAGCATTAATGAGTACCCTTTGGTGCCTATTGCACGAAAAGTTGGATTCACTCAGAGTTTTGCAATTTGTTTGCAAAGTAAATGCGCCAACAATATTGTTTTCGTAGTTGAGTACTTTCTGCCACCCAATGAAATGGTTGTTAAAGATACAAATATTTTCTTAAACATGCTTTTATCCACAATGAAAGAACAACTTCCAGGTTTCATAGGTGGTTCTGGAAATGAACTAGGACAGAGGATGCTTGTTGAAGTTGTTAAAATTTCCCCCAGTGATGAACTTGACTCCTTTGAAATTGGCCAAACTTTGCCGAGTGTTCAATCACTTCAAGATGGTGGAGAAACAACAGAAATTGGCCAACGTCTGTCGAGTGTTCAATCAGTTCAGGATGGAGGAGAAATAACGGAAATTGATTCTTTCTGTCAACAGTCAAATTTACAGAACGGGGAGGATAATGTTGCTGCTGCACTACTGGTTCTTGTTCATCATACATGCGTGACTCACTCAACTGTGAAAGGACAGTGGAAATTGATCTGTTACTTCCTCATCCAATAGAGGAAGCTGTGACAAACAGAGGAAAAGTTAACTTGGATGGAGCACATGATGACCACATTGAGGATACAAGTGAAATATTGCAACTTGATTCACACTTTGAGCAACCAAACTTAGAAATCAATTCTGCGGGAAATGCAACGAGAAGATCCATTCACATAAGAACAAAGCAATCCAAAGGATAGAAAAAGATCATGGGATTACTCGCAAGATTCTGGAGCAGCATTATGGCATGACTCTTGAAGATGCTGCCAAAGATCTACATGGTAAGTTCACTAACTTTAGCGCATCTGAAATGATTTATGCATAGGTTCACTGAAATCCCTTTTGTGGACTTCATTTATTGCAGTTAGTCGAGCAACACTGAAACGAATATGTAGAGAAAATGAAATCGCTAGATGGCCAAATCACAAGACTAGAAAGGTTAATGTCCATGTTAGCCAAGGCGTATCTTTTCAAGGTGCTGAACCATATGTGGTCGATAAACAATGTCCTGCTCTTTCCCAAGAAAAAGGCACAGATTATTTGGGTCACAAAATATCTCCTGCAACAGGAAAACCTTGTGATAAAGTGAAAACTTTAAAGGTTACATATAGAGGTGATATCATAAAGTTTCAACTCCCCTTTTCATCAACGAGGGTAGAATTGGAGGGGGAAGTGGAAAAGAGGCTTACGATATCACTTGAAAGGTTTTCAATAAAGTATCAAGATGAAGATGACGATTGGATTTTGATAACTACTGATTCAGATTTGAGGGATGGGATGCATTCACTTAGATTGTTGGGAAGGACTACTATGAGATTACTGGTTACCCCAGAAGCTAACTCGTGAAGGACTTTCCGAAAGTGATGTTATCTTTTGGTGATATGGTGTTTGTCTCTTCCCTGAGGTGTTGCGACATGTCTTTGTGCTCAGTGAACCAAAGTGATTAATGCTGTTACGAATGGGGAACTGTCAAATTACGAAAGATGCCTATATATAGAAGAGGAAAATAATGAGTTATGTCATTTTCTTTTGATTAACTATTTTGTATTTTCTGTTAGTTGTTTGATTACATGAACAACCTGTTTGTAAGTTGCTTTGATGATCAATACAAAGCTTAATTTGTTACATTATTGTTCCTACTCCATGCTTATCTGCCCTGTTACCATGCTCGATGTTCAGTTCAATACCCTCTTTTAATCAGTGAAGTCACGCAAGGGTCATTCTAGTATTGTCTCTTCCATTTGCAGTATGCTATCACCACTGCAGGAGGAGATGAAGTTGTAATTTCTTCTTCACGTAATTATTTATTTTTAAGCTCTCCTTTCATATAGGCTCTTCCATTTTATGGTTATTACTTATTAGCATTTTAGTTTTATATTTTGTGCATTTAGATTGTAAATCCTTTTGACAGAAATAAATGTTTTAAACCATATGTAGGCACTAATTTATACACATTTCCTTTATTTATCTATAATAATTTTCTTTATATTTATTTTTTATATTTATAAGGAAAAAAAATCATGACATCTTCACTAGTTCAATCAAAAATACTTTGTTTGTTGTAATCAATCACCCAAAACCAAGAGTGACTTTTCATTAGAAAATGCAACTTAACTGTAGTGAACAAAATTCAGATTTTTTGTGTTTTATGGATTCTTATTTAGAAACTGAGAATTACACAATGTTTTGAGCATATTATGTTGTTTCTAAATAATTTTCTTAGAAAAAAATCGTATATGGGTTGTGTACCAAAGAGCTGAGCCACTGCTTGTTCAATCACTAATTGTACTCTGACCCAATTTATGACTTGTTTTTTTTTTAATTAACATCAAAAGGAATGACACATCTCTTTATTTAGTACTCCCTCCATCCCATAAAATAGTTATTTCATATTACTTGATCACTTACTAAATCATGATAGAATTAATTAATATTTTTTTATTTTATCCCACAATTGATGGGGTCTTTATTTAGTACTCCCTCCGTCCCATAAAATAGTTATTCCATATTACTTATCACTTACTAAATCAGGATATAATTAATTAAAAAATTTCTATTTTATCCCACAATTGATGGGCTCTTTGGAATGTGAACAATTCCCAATAAGCAATTCATATAGTATATTTTTTCATCTAATATGGGTTGGAGGGAGTAACAATTTAACTTTAAAATACATAATCTATAATCACACAAACATTTATAACTTAATTTATACTCTCTCCGTCCACTTTAAATTGTCATATTGTGATTTTAAAAGTCAATTTGACTAATTTTCAAAATTATATTATAGATTACATTAATTTGATATTTTAAACAAAAAATTTAAATATTCAAAGGCATATGAAAAGTACTATAAATTGCAATTTTTTGCCTATCAAAATAACAAAAAATACATCATAAAATGTTAGTCAAAGTTTATGTAGTTTGAAAACTCGAAAATAATAAACCATAACAATTAAAAGTAAAAAGAGAGTATCAAAACAGAGATACAATTGATGGCTGCAGGTTCTGATTTTGTACTCTCAAGAGTCATCCTGCGTAGCATAATTATGTATAGACAGAGGGGCAAGCAAATAAAATTGTACACCAACAAGAGAATTATGAAAACAAGATGGTTAGGGCAAAATATTGTGTACCACACTTAAATTAACATTAGTCCCAAACTGATCCGCATTTGATTTTATGAAAAGATTCATTCAGAATCTGTAAGCTCTGCAATTGAAATAAGGTCCGCCCAAACAAAACAGTAATAACCCTTCAACAAGGGAAACGAGTGTGGGGTTTTTAAGCTTTAACCCACTCTTTAAGATTTTGAATTATTACAAAAAGGCACAAGGAAAAATGATAATTAATTGTCTCCCCAACTGAATACTCAAATGTAACACCAAAAAGATTTTCATCACCATCTAAATTCTAAAAGGATGTTACGAGGCTGACTTAGGCACCGCCAGATCCGTATTTCTTTCCCAAAACCAGAACCTGAAGCTTGTCATATCCGGCCAACACACCAGCACCGGCAACAGCTCGGAGGATGTTAGCACCAGCACCCTTGAACAGAGATTTGGGACCCTCATTCTTGACAATCTGGGAGAATGCATCGAGCGAGCTCTTGTACTTAACCGCCTCACCAGATGTCATCATCATTCTTCTTCTTACTGTATCAATTGGGTAAGAAGCAAGACCAGCACCATTGGTGATGAGCCAACCAAGTCCAAAGCTAGCAAAGAAACTATCCTGTATACAGCACCATAATAAGGGTCAGACACTATAGTTTTTTATACTAAAACATTTATTTATCCATATTAACCTCACAAAAGAAACTCAATCAATTACAATTATCCACTTTCTAGCAAACAACTCAAGGAAGACGAAAATATCAGCTGAAATTGACAATCTTTTACGAAAAATGCTGAATTCTTATCACTCTCCCACAATAAGTCCTAAACATTGTCTTCTCCAACATGAAAACATTCATGCATATATACAGCCAACAAAATGGCAAGACCAACAATATTTTGGTTTGACACAGCAAACGACAATATTCAGAATAGTATAAAGACGTGAACAAGCAGAGCAAAGCCAACATATACAAACACTAACCTGCAGGTTTCCTGTCAAGAGGACAGGCTTCAAGGAGTCGTACATTCCAAAGTACAAACCCCGGTAAACAATGATACCAACACATGAAATGTTGAATCCACGGTATAGACCAGCAATTCCATCAGATTTAAGTGTCTTCCTGTAGACATCAACCAAACCATTGAACTGCCTCTCACCTCCCTTCTTTGAAGCCTTGGCATCATTAGCAAGACGGGTACGAGCATAGTCCAAGGAGTAGACAAAGAACAAAGAAGAAGCACCAGCAGCACCACCTGAGGCAAGGTTGCCAGCAAACCACTTCCAGTAGCCATCACGGTCCTTCTTGAAGTTGAAGAGTCTCTTGAAGTAGTCCTTGAATGCAAAGTTCAGGGCCTGTGGAACAGAGCATCAATCAGTCAATGCTCGACTTAAGCAAACAACAGAGCAATAAATGTGCATGTATCTTTGATGCATAAATTACAGCCCTCAAAATGAATACAAATGGTAAACCTGAGTGGGGAAATAACGGATAACATTAGCAGTGTTTCCTCTCCATAAAGACCCAAAACCTTCTTCCTTAATTGTCCTCCCAAAACATTCGCCAATTCCCTTGTATGGTTCTGAGAGCCTACCAGCCTTGAGCATCTCATCTTGATTTTGGATCAATAGTTTCACACGCTCAATAGGGGCAGCAGCGGTCTTTGATACAGCAGCAGAAACTCCACCCATGAGAAAGTCAGTGGCAAAAGCTGCAAGTCCTTTCTCTTGAGGAGCCTGCACAAACACAGGTGAGGCATTTGAGGTGATCAATGATAGATCCTGAGTGGCTTGGCCTCTCTGCAGTCCAGCATTGGAGTAGTTGCCATAAGCAAAATGCCTCTGGTAAATAGCAGGCTGAACGCCCCCATAGCGAGCATGGACATCTTGGGATAGACTAGAGCGCAAGTGCAGCTGGTTAGCTGCCTTCTGGAAAACAGTTGGATGCTGGTTCATATCTGCCATGGCAACGTTTAAAAAAGTCCTGCACAGATTGAACATGAATCAGATCTCTATGCTTAAGCTCAACATTGACAAAATAAGTCCATAAATCCAGCAAAGTACAAAAAAACTGCTGCCATAAGCACTAGGAGTTCTCATCATTCATCTGCTGATCAGCACGCTAAACAATTAAGACCATCTATCTAATCACAATATATACATACCCCAACACAAACTTAAAAACATTACTGAACATAGTATTCTCACATTTACCCACCATTTGAAATGGCAATTCCTTTGCTGCCTTAGAAATGTCTACAGCTACCACTTTAATGATCTCTACTTAGCAATTAAAGTAGGCAAAACTTTAACTCAAAATTTAATGTTTAAAGTCTAATGATAAATCTTGTTCAAGTCAAATCTCAAAATATTTTATGCTGGAAAATGTGCATTAAAAGCTCAACCAAACAACTTCACACAAAAAGAATATATTTCACAATTAGCACGAATTCAAATAATAAACAACAATTAGATTTACAAATCTTGAATTGCATCAATTCCAATTTCATTAGCTGATATAGATTTACAAACAGACCACCATATCAATTTCAGAATAATGTTTAATATCTTGTGCACAAAGTACCAACAGTATGCATAGCATGCTTGCACTAATTGAGTCCTATAATTATATAACACAAGACAAACCTAATATATATAGATAGTAAGATTCCCCTGATTCAACCTCAATGCTAAATTCGAACATGAATCAACTCGTAATTCATTAATAAATTTAAACAATAAAATTAGTCTTCCTCTGACCCAAGTTTAAGTCGATAGTACTTCCTTCATAGTCTGCCACATTTCTTATAATAAAAAGCAATTTAATACTCATACTACCAATTAGATTATTTATAGCCACAAAAACATATACATAGCTTGTTTTAGATCACACATTTAAAAAATTATTCTTTCTTAAACTCGGTGACTAGTCAACCCTAGTCAACCGCAATCACATAAACTGAGGATGGACAATATAAAGTACTACAACCAGCAATTCTACAAAACATTCAGTAAAAATCTACTAAAAATCACTATACGTTGTCTATGGAGCAGCAAAATGAATGAACATAGCAATACTATAACTCATTGACCAGATCTGCGGACTCAACAGTCAAAATATTCATCCACAACTAAAAAAAGCATTGAAAATCATAAATAAGAGCAGATCCATTAAACTAAATCACATTTCTAGCAACAAAAAAAAACAGATCTCCATAACACCTTCAAAACTACTCAGAAATGAACCGCACTAAGGTTACAAAACAGAACAATCACTATATTTTACAGATCTAATCAGAAAACAGCAAAAAAAAAAAACAGTAAAATGAACACATACATAAGCAAAACGGAGATCGAAAATCTGAAAAAAAATAAAACTAAACGATCTATATGTAGCCATTAGAGAAAGAGAGAGATTATACCTTCGTTCAACTCGCCTCGAAAGTAGTGATGGAGAGGAGAAGAACGAGGAGATGATGAGAAAGAGGGGTGAAAGGAGTTGAAACGGCGA